TATCTGAATACCGTCAATATCTACCACTAGCCATCCCTTCATCAACTCATCAGACGCACGCACTGGCGCATGTTATTAGTGTCCCTGTAAACCATTCACCTTGGAAACTCCCGACTTGTTGACCTCGTCGGTCGGCATACAATCACGTTTGTGACTCACTTTAACGGACGTTGCCGTGATTCCGTACCTTTTTCTATAAATCGCTATAAAAAAAACTAGTGGACATTTCTTGGCATGTAATACTAGCCGGTTGCCTATAAATGCTCTTATCTCGATCTTTCTCCCTTGTATAAACTTCTTAACGGCCTTTTTCAGATCCTTCGGTGACTGAAAGTATAGCCTAAACACAATTTTGCGAAAGTTCAATTCTGCAGGTGGCATACAGCCATCGTTACGCACGTGAAAGTGCTTGAACAATCGCCTGATATTCAACGGAATCATTTCGCTAAAATCTTCAGTTACTCACTTTCCATTTAGACGGCCCAAAAAACCAAAATGTGAATAACAAAATATGATGGTGTTTAGTTAAAAGAAACATTTCAGAGCTTGGACCGCTAAAAAAAGACCAGATCCGTAGATATTACGATATGTCACGTCTCTTTGTTACACTTATTACGCTTAAATTGTGTAGAAATAATGAAAGCTTGCAAGCCGGCTAATGCTTATCATCTCGTTCTATTGGACGCGTGCATTTGCGTGGCAAACATAGAGGGGTAATACATTTTTGCATTTTAACGGAAATCATTTGCGTGCAAAAACGGCCAATGGGTTGTTCCTGCAGACCTAGGACGGTTGCCATTGTTGTCCTTACTTTTCTTTGCACATCTGGACCTCATTCTACGCGTGTTTGAATGCGCTGCGGCATAACCAGAAGCCTGTTTGGACGTGCGTCGGCAGTATTTCGGCCGCACGCAGATAATCTTTAGTGTATCGCGCACTCCGCACAATCCAAAAGACTAAACAGTAACCGCGCATACATGAAGGTAGTTGGTTAAAACAAACATAGAGCAAAGCCATGGCTGCCAAAAAAACAAAAGAAAATAATAATCCTGATGAAAAAACAGTACTAAATAACGATAAATTGTTGCCCTATCTATCTGAATACCGTCAATATCTACCGCTAGACATCCCTTCATCAACTCATCATACTCACGCACCGACGCATGTGATTAATGTCCCTGTCAACCATTCACCTTGGAAACTTACGACTTGTTGACCTCGTCGGTCGGCATACAATCACGGTTGTGGCTCACTTTAACGGACGTTGCCGTGATTCCGTACCTCTTTCTATAAGTCGCTGCCTCGGCTTCTCGGGAGATGGTTAACGGGCGTTTCGCCTGTGTACTTTGAGAGTTACTACTCCGTCGAGGAGAACTGATTGGACTTTAGTCGGGCGGTCGGTTTGGTGGTTCTTCTTCCTCACCGAGTAAACTCAGCGTCGGGCTATCTCCGTACGGCCTTCTTAAGTTAGGTGTGGTTGTGTGGTCCTGAGCTCTACGATTGTGATGACGTAAGACTTTGTAAGCTGCAGGAAGGTCCAGATGCCTGTTGATATAGTGGGCATCGGAGAACCACGCCTCGAGAGTTAGCCGTTCCGTTTTTGTGTTGCCTCGGCCTAAGATGGTAGCCCTCTGGAGGTCAAAAGTATGCCCCGTTTCTCCAACATGTGTTGCTAGTTGAGAGTTAGGGTCTAACCTCCGAGTGACCGATTTGTGATCTTGTAGGCGAGTTTGCAACTCCCGACCGCTTTCGCCCACATAGTTGCAGTCACTCTCATTGCAATTTATTTTTAGATGACTGCTAAGGTTTCAGCGGGTGGCAATGGGTCCTTAGGTTGCATCAAGCGACGTCGAATTGTTGCTTGTGGTCGATGGGCTATGCCTACCCTGGTGGGTTTTAACAGTCGCGAGACCGCTTTAGAGACCCCTTTAACGTAAGGAATGGACCTCCAGACTTCGGGTTGCTGTTCATTTGGCTGTCGTCTAGATGCCCAACGTCTGCTTCTCTCGATGAAATGCCTGGGATAGCCATTGGCTGTAAATTGGTTCACAAGGTACAATCGTTCGGCCCTTTTATCTTCTGGCGTGCTGCAGTGTGTTTCGACTCTTTGGAATAGAGTGCGGACACAACTACGTTTGTGAGACAGAGGATGGTAGCTGTTGAAGTGTAAGAACTGTCTCGTGTCTGTGGATTTTCGGAATACTGGTGCTACTAGTAGTACTACTAGAACAACTACCACTAATAATAATACTACCAGTACTACCACTAATCCCCATGCAACAGTAATTCGATCAGAGATTAAAGGTGTGCAGATGATTTAGGCTCAGGAAAATCCCCTGTCACTTTGATCTAACCGCTCTTACTAATCCTAATTAGTTCCTTCCTCCTCATCTTAATCTGTCACTTCCTCTTTAATTTCTTCCCCCAATGCATGTTTCGCTTACATCTCCTCAGTCTCCGTGTAAATCACCCTCATCAGCTGTCTCTTCCTCGCAGCTTGCTTTGTCCTCCTCTAGCGCATACTAGTCATCCCTCTGCAACCAGAATTTACCCGTGACAAAACGTCTGTTCATAAAGTTTGCTGATTAGTTAACTGATCTAGTTTGTGCCTTCACGTTTCTGTTGTTTGGAAGTAAAGTACAGTCGGGCGATGAAGACCAATAAAACTCAAATTGCTCGTTACAGGTCTCACTTACTGATTGTTCATCCAATATCTCGTAGAACAGAATCGCAATGTCCATCAGTGTTATCTTAAGAAGATTTCAGAAGGTAGACCTCCTGAATTACTCTTTTAAACATATCCAACATTTGCCCCTGCAATGGTGCCATCGACTCATATAAGGGCTAGTTTTCAAAAACACGCAGTTACACCCTGTTGAACTAAGAACCATTTTAATGCTCTGCAGTATAAAGCACAGCAGCGCATCGCTTAGTAATTGCACTTCTACTTATGTGACACAATAACTCAAGCATGACATAACTCAGTAGACACTGCTGGCAATCACTCGAGAACCGTTGGCAACGGTAGTGTGAAAGGCTCCACTCGTAAAACACCCCATCACCATAATACCCGTATGACATGACTCACAGTCTGCCGACAGTTAGGTGGGCCCCTCTTCCGTTCCGTCGTCGAACCATTAATTTATGTCATTCAGCTCCTAAAGCGACGGTGTCTTCTTCGGCAAAAAATAACGCTGCCCCGCTAACTTGATTCCATACGAAGCCACTTCGCAGCTCGCAGTCGCACCAGGGTGGAACATGATGTGTGTGCGTCAAACCTTGCGTGTCTGTGTATGTACTTTTTTCGCTGACCTCAAAACACCCAGATCAAGATCGAACGATAGGGACCTACTTTGCGCAGATCTGCCGTACGCTCACATCTGTTAGGCTCTCAGTTAGACAAAGTCACCATTTCTCAAGAAGGTTTGAGGAGCTTTGCGGCGTAAGCGTTTGCGCGGACAAAACATGCGGAATCCTACGCCATAATTATTACAAACTGCGCGAACACTCTTCAGTGAGTTTTTACCAACGGAAATGCCAGTGAGTCCGGCGACTGAGTGAACAGCTAACGTTGTTCGTGGGTTAGACACTCACGGTTCTATACAGCCATTAAGCGTCATTCTACCGTCTTTGTCTCCTCATCCGTTCCATCCTTCAACTCATTTCCCCCGACAATGTCACCCCTCCCTTCATCCTTTTTATGCTCGTCCCATTTCCCTTCTTCTTCCTCCTCATCTTTTCCTTCCCCCCCCCTATATTTTCAGTTTCTTCCCTCCCTATCTTCCCCGCTGCTCCTTCTACCCTTCTTCTCCACCTCCTCCTCCTCCTCCTCCTCCTCCCCCCCACCACTATGCAAGCGTAGGAAGTGGGCGCATCATCCTGCATCATGCACAGAAATAATAATAATTGACTACAACGACTAGGAACAGGTGTTGATGCCTATTCCTCAGTAACTATTACTAGGAACACAAAGAAAAGGGCCAATACTTCGAATAGAATCCCGGAGTAATTTCTTCTTGACAGAAATGCATACTGTTTTGTAGGATAAATTCAAGCTATGTTTACAAGTCGGATTTAAGTTCGGAACTGTGGACCCTTCTCACAAAATATTTATGCACTTATATAGGTCATATGAATTTAGCAGAATCAAGGACGACCCGAACTCTAAATGAAAGTATGTTACCTTATTAAATTCCACCCGAAAAAAGAAAGCACTTCTAGGTTGGGCTTTTCATAACAGAGCCCAGCAATATCTTTTGAAGATGTGCAAACGCAAATTAATTATTTAAATTATTTGAATAACGTTGAAAGCAATGCGTGAATCAGACGTACCGAAAACCGATCCGCTTATCTATTCGTAGTGGTGCTTTGAAGTTAATTTCAAGTGTCATCGAGGCGAACGCGTTAAGGGTTTTTGCGTTCTTGGTTTAGGTCGTTTTAACTTTACTACACCACAGCTTACCGTCATAAATAAGGTGTTGTATGTTTTGAAATTTCGCCTCTAATACCATCTAGGCTTTACTTTGCTGGTCAGCTTCTTATCCTTGCTCAAGATTCCGATGCTCTGTCGTTTATCGTGTTCTTTTCAGCCAAAAAAATTGGAAAACAGGATGTTGCAGAGTTCGGTGCAACGAACGTTATTTAAGTACATACTAAATTGAGCGGTAATACTTACACGTACTTGATGCAGCTGTGATCATGGCTGATCAAACCGGGGTCGGTGTTGTATCGAAATGTACCTCTCTACATGTGATGATGTGAGACAGTGAATCTGGAAAGCATGGCCCACCCTCTCCGTCGGCGTTGGAGACCGGATGCAAAGGGATGAAGTACTGTGTCGACACAGTACTTCAAGCTGGATCAATCGCTCCAGGTTTCATGGAAGGATATGGTCCTTTTCTATACGTTCCTCGGCAGTACCCCTGCGGGAGATTTGGTAATGCCAACCCCTTTATGTTTACAGACGTTAGCCCCAAAAGTGTGCCTTGTTCTGGTCACAGATGCAGGTCGGAAACACGTTGCACATCCGAAAGCTTTTGGATCATCCGACTGGTTTAGCCACTTCATCTGTCCGCGACTCAAAGGTCTGTATGTCACCAAGGCGGCATCGATGGTGTGGGCGAGATCAGTAGTCAGGCTCTAAGGCGCAAATGCAACACTACCAAAACCGGAAAACAGGGTAGAGACTCTCAAAGCACCAGAAGATTCAGCTGATTTTGACAAGGACATGACAACTTCAATCTGGTCGTCCAAGTGCCCAGTGCTGATGTTTTAGTGGATTGACGGGACTGCAAACAGCACATACGTCAAAATCATGCAATGTTCCTTGGATAGTCTAGTCAATAGCCTAATTGAACACAGTGGAAAATAATATACAGCCTTGTGGAACGATCGCTCGAATACCGACTGCGGAATTTAAAAAAGTGCCACAACGTGACGATTTGTCCTTGCATCCATTCTCCGCGCGAGTCGCGCACACCTTTAAATCGCATCATAATTACAAAAACGAAAGCTTCCTCATCATGGTCGACTGGACTCATGCCGAGGTGGCATTCACAAGCCGTCCAATCATTTACTGGAGCAAGGACGCCAGAGTGACTGTACATGACTTTCCATTTGTGAAGCTTCTGTTTCACATAGAAGACATCTTCCTAAGATGGGTTCACACATGAAACTTCCTAGGCTAAGGAGGGATAGAACTCTGCCATACATCAGTTTGGTGGTTTTAAGTGCTCATTCCAGCGTTCGCCTCTGGTTGGTTTGTCAACAGTTAAGCAGTCTTTCACATCGTTCACAAGGTGACCCAGTGCAGAGTGCCCAGCACTAACTTGACGCATGGTTTGGTAGTTCACGCGTTGCCGACGTTTGAGACCTTAGCCATTTGAGTTTACTAGCTTTTGAGGCCATTTCATGCCGATTTCGCCGTTTTTAAACGGAGGCGACAGAAGGAATCACGGGTATGGGACAAACGATTGCGAAATTATACTCTTATTCGAGCACGCAAAGTGTGGCAAAAATGATTCTGTTCAGGCATGCACGACAAAGGGGGTGGGTTCAGCCATCTTAGGTAGGAGCGTATTTTCTAAAACGCATCATTACATAACGAGACCCATTTGTTTTTGTGAATGCAACACATTGTTCAAACGATCTTACCGTGTGACGATAACGGCCCTTATCTGTCATTTGTGGAAAAACGGTTTGAGAGTAATCTGACAGCGCAATCGTCAGCGAAGCAAGAATGGCAGACGTCTCTTTGTCGACACTAGTGCTCAAATCAGTGTTATTTCTCCAACAGCAACTGACCGTCATTGTCGCAATCCTGACCTCCTCTTCCTTTAGGCCGTCAACATCTTGAAAAATTGCCAGCTTCGGCATCTACTCACGTTCACTGGACATTGGCCTCCGTTTTCTCTTCGCTTTGGTCTTTGTGGTTGCCAACGTGCCCTGTGTTTTACTTGGTGCAGAGTTTCTTGCCCTCCTTGATCTTCTGGACGACTGTCGTCAGTCACGTCTACAAGACCAGACCACAAAGCTGACCGTCCGAGGTATCTCTTCGTCTGAAGTGTCCCACCGACTTGCCGTCCTGAACCCTGAACCTGTGAATCCATTTCGACAACTTGTCGCCAAATGCCCCGGTTTCATTCGTCCAAACTTCAGCGCGACTGTCCGAACGCATAATGTTGTTCATCACATCCGAACCACTCGCCCTCCCGTGTTTTCTCGGCCACGCCGTCTCGCGCCTGCACGTCTTGCTGCCGCCAAGGCCAAGTTTGAGCGCATGCTTCAGATGGGCATGGTTCGTCAATCTGAGAGCCCTTGGGTCGCCCTCCACATAGTTCCCAAGGCTGCTTCGGGTGACTGGCGCCCCTGCGGTGACTACAGGACCTTGAACAACGTAACTATCCGGGACTACTATCCTGTTCCGCATCTTCAGGATTTTACCGGAGCCCTCTTCGGCAAATCTGTGTTCTCTAAGATCGACTTGGTCAGTGATTTTCACCAGATTCCCATCGCTCCGGAGAACGTTCCAAAAACGGCCGTCACTACACCCCTTGGCATTTTGAGTTTCTGCGTATGCCCTTTGGACGCCGCAACGCCTCACAAACCTTCCAAAGATTCGTAGACAGAGTACTTCATGGCCTAATCTTCGTTCACGCCTATTTGGATGACCTTTTGATTGCCAGCTCCAAAAGAACACATGTTTCGTATTTCAACGCTGTTTGAACGCTTTAAAAATTTGGCGTCATTCTCAACTCATCCAAGTGTGTTTTCGGTGTTGACTTCCTCGAGTTTCTCGAGCATATGGTTGACTCTAGGGGCATCTTTCCGCTTCCCGCTAAGGTTGCGGCCATCTGTGACTTCCCTTCTCCCTTTCCCAAACTTTAGCTCCAGCGATTTCTGGGCATGGTAAATTTTTAACGCCTTTTCCTCCCGCATTGTGCCGACCTTACTCTGCCGCCCACGAACCTTATTTCCAGTCCCAAACATTCGTTTAAGCTGTCTGCAGACACCCTCGCTGCTTTTGACAAGATGATTGCTGCCCTGGCCGACGTCACCCACCCGACGCACTTTTCTCCCGATGCTCCCATCGCCCTCGTGGTTGACGCCTTCAATTTTGCTGTTGGCGCAGTTCTTCAACAAAGCTTCCCGGATTCGACGGTGAATTTGGCCTTCTTTTCAAGAAAACTCTCTAAGGCCGAAACACGCTACAGCACTTTAGGGCGCGAACTTCCTGCCGTTTATCTTGATGTGAAGTACTTCGAGTTCGCCATATTCACGGACCACAAGTCACTTTCCTTCGCACTTCACTCAACTTCCAACAGGCTCAACCCCCGGGAAACCCGCCAACTTGACTACATCTCTCAGTTCACCTCTGCCACATTGACGGATCAGGCAATAAGGATAGCTAACGCATTATCCAGATCCTTCATCGCTCACGTTCAGCTATCTCCCGCGATCAACCTTGCTGAGATGGCAGCGCAACAACGCCGTGCCGGCTCTCTCTCTCTCTCTGCGAAGAATGTTTCCGGACGCCAACTCCAGGACCTGCCACTGACCACTGGTGATGGCACCATTCTATGCAACGTCTCCACCGCATCTCATCGTCCCTTTGTGTCGTCATCCCTTCGCCGCAAAGTCTTCTCCTTCCTGCACTACCTATCGCATCCTGTGAGTCGAGCTTCTTATAAGCTAATTTCCGATCTTTTTGTTTGGCCTGGCTTGCACAATGACCTTAAGGCTTGGAGGTGTCCTGCCCGTCAGCAAAGCAGGGTCCAACAGCACAATAAAGCACCCGTAGGCAAGTTCCCCACTCCTGACGCTAGGTTCAGTCATGTGCACCTGGACATCGTAGGCCACTTGGCAAAATTGTCAATTCCCGGCTCGAAGTGCTTCACAAATATTGCATTAAGCTGTTCTGCTGTAGTTTGTTGTCTGGCTCAGCGCATATTCAGTATAGTCTTAAAGCGCTTTCCGAGAAAATTGATGATAGGTTCCGGTGTGGTCAGACAGTAAGGTCGTTTAACTCATGTCTTCCTCTACTAAAAACAAATGGGTCTCCAGTCCTCCTCCTCCCCCCTCCTCCTCCTCCTCCTCCTACTACTACTACTACTATTACTACTACTACGACTACGGCTACGACTACTACTACTACTACTACTACTACTACTACAACTAATACTATAACCAATACTTCTGCTACTACCTGTACTTCTGCCACTGCTGCTGCTTCCGCTATTGCTACGACCACTGTTGCTGCTACTTCCTATACTACTAGAGCTACTACTAGAGCTCGATATAAATGACAACCATTGTCTTGTGCGAGAAAAGGGTGGCCAGACGCGAACAAAAAGATGTCTCAGGACACCTCGAAAAGTCACAATGAGTCAGACAAGTTAGCAAGAGTCGACTACACCTCAAACAAAAAACGTGCGCTGAAAATGCCAAATGACCAACAAATCGTAGTAAACAGGCAGTCATGCGTTAGTCCAACCGAACCAAACCTTCCTAAATCGGTGAATCTTGGTAGTCGGGATATCCTTGATGAAGTCTCTGCAGTTATGATTAAATCACAAGGCCCTCTAGTTGATTGCAGTAAAGTTATTGTCATAAAGGACGTGCCTAAGTCTGTTTCCGACACTCCAAATGACGGAATACAGCATGACATAGAAATATTCCAGGAATATCTCAAATTAATCTTAAGAGGAGACGAGAAATCCACCGTATTAAAGGCTTTCAAGATGGGCCAAATAAAAGACTCAGCAAATGAACCAAACTCACCGAGACCGTTAAAAATTGTCTTCCAGAATGACGAACAAGCGCAGCTACTGTTGAGCGGGAAATCTACGCTCCAAAATGCCCATCCATCAGTTTTTTTCAGCGGGACTTTTCCCCCGCAGAGAGAGAAAAGTGGAGGAAACCCAACTTGGAAGTCCTTAGGCGGTCGAGTCTAGGCGAGACAAATCTCAGAATACTGGACGGAAATTAATAAGCGTCCAAAGGCCATTCCTATGGAGAAAGCCTATTACCCTAACAGTTTAGGAGTGGTGAAAAGCAGTCCATCTCGATAAGCGCGGACGGGCTATTGCATTCAATCCCATGAAATGGATAAACGCCTGTATGCCGGGGTTGCTCGTAACAAATTTCAATTTTTGTATACTAATGCTCAAAGTCTCGTTTTAAAGATCGACCAACTCAAAGCGCTAGTTTCAGAACGAATCTCCGACGTCATCGCCATAACAGAAACTTGGCCTAATGCTGAAATCGTGGATGCCGAGATTTCGATACCAGTTTATCAGCTCTTTCGTAGAGATCGTCATAATAAACAGGGCGGTGGGGTTGTCGTATATGTAAGGGCAGGAATTTTGGCAGCTAAACGCGCCCACACACTTTCCCTTGAATATTAATCCGTTCGGATAAAGATAAAGTAGAGTAATGCACAAAACCTAGAATTCGTGGCGATTTACAGATGACCAAAAATTCCGAGTACGGCTGATGAGCCGCACCTTCATCAAGTCAAGGACGTTGCTGGCCACCAAGAGGTATTTATTGCTGGGGATTTCAACGCATCTGCAATAGAGTGGGAAAATATCGTAGTCAACGGTGGGCCAACTTCCTTCAGACAAAGAGTGCAGCATCCAAAGCAAGCATTTAAAATTCAGCGTGGCTAAGCCGGAGAGGTTTAGGTCCATTCACGACCACCTACTTAACACGACAGACATTGAGTCTACAGATCACTGTATCACCATCTCAAAGACGAGGCTCCATCCGCAACCCCACAGGAGGCTACAGGATAAGTGGACCCCTTTGTTAACTGAATACCGTCTGGCTGACTTGCCTGCAGGCGGTCCGAAACAAATCCGTATTCTCAGGTCTAAAGTTTTAATTTTGGTATTTCGAAGTGCACTGATTTTCTACACGTAACGCTTTGCATATACTCCCCCGGTGGACTCTTAATGAGGTATTAGCTACGCGCACGTGCTGCGATCGATATCACGCTACGTGTTGAGAGCGATCGATTTTATCTCGCCAGGTGTGCAGGCATGTCATGGTCCAGGGCCTACAGAAT